ATGCTCAGTGAAGGGGCCATACAGATCTCAGAAGGGAGGCCATTCCAAAGGCAAGGAGCCACTGCTGAGAAGGCCCGGTTTCTTGTTTTTTCCTTCCAGGCCTCCCTCAGTGTTAGTCTCCGCAGTCTCACCTCCTGGCTAGACTGAGTGATACGAGTAGATTTGGGTGCGAGGAAGTGTGTGCTTCATAATTAATGCCTTTTTTGGTTTCAGAACAGATTTCGAAAAAGGTCACTTACGCCCTTTAAAACTATTAATTTTCTTTTATTCCATTTGAAACAATATTTGTATTCTAAACTAGTTAATTCTCTTACCTCTGAGGCATAGGGCTGGTTAAACTATTTTAGGTGGGGTTCTGAGATTCAGGGATTTTTATGAGGGGATGTGATGAGGTCTGGTATCTGAGTGTTCTTTGTGAATTTTGTTGTATGTGTATATGGTGTATATACGTTCAAGAACAATAAATAAATAAATTGAATTTAGTACTAAATTTTAAAAAGTCCTAAAATTAGAAATTAATCTATATGTTTCCTAAAGGAACACAAAGTACATTTTCAAAGACTTGAAAAAATAAGCTAATACAGGTCACAAAAAAGAATCTTAATAAAAATGATTAGATTTTGACAGTTCAATGTAGATAGTTCAGTAATGGCAAGGCAGCTGCTAAAAAGCCTCTCCAAGTTCTAACTTTGAGTTCTTGGACAAACACTCTCAGAAGCTATCGCCACTAGCTGTGCTGGCCAGAATTTTGGGTAATTGTAGTCCGAGAACATTTGGGAACCACTGGCCTAGTGAAACACAATAGGTGTACTGACAGAATAGTTTAGAAGGTATTCTTGGTTGTTTTTGAAGGCAACACCAGGCTTTAAAGTAAGAAAATGATCATTTAAGTATGTATACAGGCCTCATGCCTGTTGGCACTTTGTATTTCATGAGCAACCCAATGAATTTTGTGTGAAATATAGCAGGATCTTGTTGGGTTAATCCAGTAGATAATCCAGCTAGATTACATCCATTGAATGAATTGCATTTGCTAAATCTGAATTTATATGGACTAGCAACTGAATGTTAGCCCATTGCTTCCAGCAAAGTTATTTTTCATAGAAACTATGCTCTCTGTTCTTCAGTACTTGGACCATCTGAACGCTCTTAAACATTTTGTGGCTGTTCTAGTGTAAGTAACAAAATAATGGGATCTATTTTATCAAAATTACATGGTAGCAGTACTTTAATGAGTCCACATTAATCATCTCAAAGTCTAGTAATCTTCCTCTTCAGTCTTGAAAGCTTTAATTCCTTTATTAAAATTATCAGTATTTTTGCCTCGTATGTGTGGTGAGCCAACCAGGTGGATCAGAGAATCAGAGACCACCTCCTTTTTAGTGCACACAGTTGTTTTCCTTTCCATGAAAGTTAACAGCGAAAGGCAAGGATGATCTTATTTCTGAGTTGATCGGGCTCAAAAAATATTTATGTCCAGAAACTAAGCTCATCAGTTTTCTGCATTTCCTATCTTATCTTATCTTATTGTGACATAGCTATTTTCATAACTGTAAGGAGGATTTTTAAAGCAACATGCCTGTGACATCTCAAAAGTTACTTGTTTTTAATACTTTTGGACTTTATGTTTTTCATATGAAGTCTAGAAGATGTAGAAATAAAAGATTTTGTAGAAAGTTAGCAATTTTTAAAATTGCCTGAAATTATTGCAACAGTGAAGACCCTTTACTGGGGTAATGTCAGCTATGATGAATTGTAGGCTTCTGTTCTTTGTGTGGGAGGTCTGTAAATCTTTCTAGGACTCCTTGGCTGAGTCAGGCATCCTTAGCAGGTTCTGAGATGTATATTTACATTTTATTTTAATTTTATGGCATGACTTTAATAATTTTAATCCATTAGTTCAGCACACTATGCCTTTAAATCTATTTACTAGAAATGCGGGGTAGATTTGGAGTCTAGAAGTGAAATAAAAATTCTTAAAGAATAATTTCAATATTCTGTTTTGAAATGCCTTAAAACACTTCAATTTTTTCTCCCTTATAAGAGTTTTTAAGGTTGGGTATTGATTGAATTATATTTTTAATAGCCTGATTTTTATTTTTAATAGTCAAACATGCACTAATGTGAGTTTACATAGGGGAGGGGAGGGAGGCATAGGGAGGGATCATATCCCCAAAAAATGATAGTAGTACAATAGGCTAGCTTTTGAGTAAATATTTACATTAAAATGTCTTTAATGTTCTGTTGTTCTTAATGTTGTAGTGCTCTAAGATCATTAAAGCCACAGTTGCTCATCCTGAGGTTTTAAAAAAATTAAGTTAAAAATTAGAATTTTCTGCTTGTAAAAAAAAATGTTATTGATGACTTCAGCCAAATAGGTAGTGCACTTTAGATTTAAGATTTTTTTTTAAAAAAGTAAGTGTTAAGGCAAATGTTCTGTTTCATTATTATTGTTATTGATTAGACTACTGTAATGCACTCTACGTGGAGCTGAGATTGATGTGGAAACTACCAATGGTCTAGAACATGGCCGCCAGACTATTAACTGGGGTGAAAAATTATCATCATATTTTCCCCACCCTGGCAGTTTTACACTGGTTGCCCATTCGTTTCGGCATTGACTTCAAGGTATTAATGCTTACATATAAAGCCCTAAATGGTTTTGGACCTTGATACCTGGCAGAGCGCTCTACTCATGTCACTCGATCTGGGCCTTCTCGTCGGTGGTCCCTCGCTTCTGGAACATCTTGCCCCCTGAGATTCGCCTAGCATCCTCACTGGGAGTTTTCAAGAACAAGCTGAAGACTTGGTTCTTCAGGCAGGCCTTCCCCCCTTCCATCACTGTGTTTTCCTATCTTGGACTCTGCTTATCTCTGTTTTGTTTTGTTCTGTATTGTCTGTTTTAATTTTAATTTTTGGTTTTGGTTTTATATTGCTCGGACTGTAAGCCACCCAGAGTAGATTCGTTTGGAATCTAGGTGGGCGGGGTAAAAGCCAAATGGAGAAATAATAAAATAAATAAATAAATATTGAGTTTCACTAGAAGGTACAGATTTGTAAAACTTGGGCCAGAATCCTATTGATTAGTTCTGACATAAGTGCAGTGCAATTGCACATTGCAATTTCGAATGGCCACTATTTAAACAAATCGCTTCTTGTATACCTCATCACACAATAACTCACACTGTTGGCATTCATCAGTGAAAGAAGTAGTGACTTGTAACCGAGGAACAATTCACTACAGCAGTTTGCCATTGCACTTAATGCCAGGGTAACTGACCAATAGGATTTTGGTCCTCCTTTTAATTGTTGACCTTTTCCCCCACTTCATCTCCCCATGCTGTTGTATATTGGCTAACTTACTGTGCCAACCATCATGGGGTGGGTCATGTTGTTTTTCTAGAGACCTGAAAAAACGGTTGCAAAGACTTACACTATATAATGTACCTTATAGTGGCATGACAGTATTTTTTTAATACTTTGCATATGTAGATATGTGCACTGTATTGTTGTCTGTGCTGTATTTTCCATTCCATTGTGCTGCTTTGCAGAAATTGCTGTAGGCATGGAGTAATTGTTAGTAAAAGATTTATTAGAAATAACAACTTAAATTTTATTTCACTGGTACTACAGATCACTCACATCGATATCTGATGTGTGCCTTCAGTTTAAAAACATTTTAAAAAGAAAATTTCTAGTTAAACTAGCAAAGTAAATCATTACCTCTTTCTTCTCTATGCAGTAAACAAAAGCACCTCCAAAAATTTATTGTTGTGATCCAGAGTGCAGTTTTATATTTGTCTATGCAAAATTGAAAAATACAGTAACTACTGCCTTGTTGCATGCACTGTTAACAAGAAGAAGCATTGGATGGATTGTTTGTGTCTTTGTAGCAATCAGTTAAGCTAGTCCTTTGATGCTCAACAGGTGCTTTGCTTAATGAATGAAAAGATGCTAAAGATATTTTGCACAGACTGTGCAGACTGTAACAAGAAAAAAAGCACTTGGTGTCCCACTGTTCCACTGAGGTGAGAATTGTGGAGGTTTTAGCAGGCTGCTTCACTATGTTAAGACAGCCTTTCTTGACTAAAAGAAGGCATAAGTGACATTTCCTGAGATCCTCAGTTTAAAAACTGTTCTTTCTTTTTAAAGCTATGGTAAACATTTGAACCTCCTTGGAGAAAATGCTGAGAATGATCTAAGTGAAATATTAATGTACTGTGAGAAATATTTGAAGAAACAACAGCAAGCATTTGTAATGACATCGTTACGTATCCTTTTCTTATGATGAGTTAGACTTCATTACTGTATATGTTTTGTCAGGGCAACTGTCATGAACAATGTTTCTGCCTGCTCATGAATTCTGTTGCTGTGTATACTAAATACTGTGTAACTACTATTTCTGCTATATAAAGATAAACTTCATCAAACATTCCTTACTGTAAAGGCATACATTCTAAAGAGACATTGCTTGATCTCTTTGCATTGCTTTTACACCTGGCTTTCCTATTCATTCCAGTGTAGAATGCAGATTCCCACGTATGTTCTACAAATACAGATTTAGGGATGTCCTATACATGAAGAGTTCAATGTACAATACACATGAATCTCTGGCTTAGCATAATGATGTTTTCTATAGCTATTTCTAATCATCTACCAATTCGCAACACTTAAGTGCATGCAATTTATGCCCCACAACGTGTACAAAAGAAAATCTAGCAAATGGCCAAGATAATGCTATTGAAGTAGTTATTTTGACTTCTGGTCAGAAATAGTCCAATTAACATTAAGACAATGAAGATTGTCTTTAATTTGTTTTAATTTTACCTACATTACATATATTCCATAATTTAAAATTATGCAACACTCTGATAGAAAGAAAGAGAGAGAGAGAGAGAGAGAGAGAGAGAGAGAGAGAGAGAGAAAGAAAAGCATTTTAGATCACAGTGTTTTCTATTGATAATTAAGTAATGCTGGATTTCCTTAACATACTCCTGTAGGTGGTCTGGAGGGAGGCTATGCAGGCTATGATTGGTTTGCATCTTCTGTGTTTCTAATAATGATGGGAGACAAAGAGAAGACATTAACATTCCTCCAACAATTTTCTCATCTCCTTGTTTCAGCATTCCTTTGGATGCCACGACTGCATTGTTCTGTAAGACTTCAAAAGAGGTTTTATCTTAACAAGATTACTTTGAGCATTTTAAATGAATGTTTATTAATTCAGAATGTTTTTAGAAAAGAAAAGAAAAAAGAAAAGAAAGGATTCACTTAAAGGCTTTCTGGCCAAATTTTTCCCTGTAAAATTTATCTCCAAAAAACCTTGGCTTTGGCACCTGCTCATATGGTAGCCTGGTGAAAAGGGAAAAACAGGTAGACTGATAGCAGTGCTGGTGTTATTGAATTTCAAAGTGAGCAATAAAATGCACTTTATTAGTAGTGTTATATTCTGTATGTAGGCAGAGAAAACTATTCAATGGCCTTTTTATTATTTTTGCTCTGTGCAGGCCCATTCTTTAGATTATTAGCTTTTGTTTTACTGTAAAATCATTAAATGTCATGAACTAGCAATGTTGTACTAAAAAAATGACAGCTTGTGTTGTCGGTTCCGTTTGCAGTCTTGTTTCATCATTTTAAATGGTTTCTTTAGCTATGAAAATTTCTTTTAACATTAGTTACCATAAACATAATAGAATATATAATATACTTATTTTTAAAATATCCTTTCATATCCTCTGCTCCAATCTAATTTTAGCATAGCAAGATTAGTTGGGTTTCAATTTATAACATATTAGTATCACCAAAACCTGCCCTTTATTTAAAGCTTCTTTACTAGTTAGAAAACTCTTTCACTATCTACTAGTGGTAATTTATTATTTATTTATTTAAAATATTTAGCCCACCTTTCCCTTAAAAAAGACCCAACAATGAAAGACAATACTGTATTTAAAGTTGAAACTTGAAAACGATGAGTATACACGGTAGTTAACATCATTAAAAACAATATTTAAAACTGAGGGGAAAACAGGGATCAAAGCCGTCTGCAGCACTTTGATCCCTGCTTTCCTTTTGCTAAGGCTTAGCAAGTAGAGGGGAAAACAGGGATCAAAGCCCTGCATGATCACTTTAATCCCTGCTTTCCCCTCCACTTGTTTTTTCTCTCTCCTCAGCTTACTTCCGTGTTCATTAACAGGCAATATTAGGGCAAAGATCAATAAGCATACAAAAAAAATTAAAAGTCACTCAGAGAAATGGAAGACACAGCAAGGAGGTGTCTTACATCATTAACAGGCAATATTAAGGCAAAGATCAATAAGCATACAAAAAAAAGTAAAAGTCACTCAGAGAAATGGAAGACACAAAAATGGAAAACACAAGTTCTAAAAATCCAGTCAAAGCAGTAACACATAACAATCTATCTATAATTCACACACAGCTGGTTACTGAGGGAAGGCTTGTCTGAAGAGAAAAGTCTTCACCTGCTTGTGGAAGGACTGCAAAGATAGAGCCAGTCTGACCTGTGGGAGGAGTTCCAGAGTCTGGGAACAGCAACAGAGAAGACCCTCTCCTCGGTCCCCATCAGATGCACTTGTGAAGACTGTGGGACTGAGAGAAGGGCCTCTCCTGATGATCTTAACACCCGAACCAGCTCATAATGGGAGACATGGTCTTTGAGATAGCTTGGGCCCAAGCCATCTAGGGCTTTATAGGTTTAAACTAGCACTTTAAATTGTATCTGGTAACTGATCAACAGCCAGTGGAGGTGCTGTAAGAGAGAGTTTATGTAATCCCTGTAACCAGGCCCAGTCAGCAATCTGGCTGCTGCATTACTGCCAGTCAAGATTCCCTCTAAGCTGGGTGTGTGCATGTGCATGCACGTCTCTGCCTCCCTGTGTGCAGCTGTCTTCCTCCTCTGTGCAGTGATTGTGTTAGGTTCCGGTCAGAACAGAACCCTGCATGCAGGGGGAGGGCAGAGTCACACATGCACACCGGGGTGAAGTTGTGCATGAAAGAGGTAGAGCCCCGCCCAGTGAGGCTGAAAATTAGAGGGAACATTGCTGCCAGTATTATGCAGAATATGGATACTCATTTCAGTGAAGTCAGCATTTTAAGAGCCAAATTAGGCATGTCATGGAATATTCATGGTTAAATTTTTTTATATTTCCATTTTGCTTTAAAAAGTAGCCCTGAAGGTACTGAAAATATGGTACTGCAGGACTTTAGCACTACATGAACATACTCCCCACCTCTGTGTGATTTCTCCCATGCAATCAGGCCTTCAAAGCTGTTAGCAACAGAAACAAAACATGTATTTGTATTGTACCATCTTCCGTCACTTTCTGTTACTGAACATCTGGAAGGTTAAATTAGGCCAGTGGTCTTGGATGGGGTTCAAAACAAAAAGATCTGCCAGTTCCACAACTCCAGTCTGAATAAAGTTTCTTCATTGCCATTTTCACAAATGGATAAAGAAGAGTATAAGATCATGTATCTGCCATGTTGGTTTAGTTTGGCCCTAAATTACCATACGAAAGCCATTGCTGCTAATATGAGTTCCACTAATCGTGTTAGGCTGTCTAACAAGGATTTATAAAAATAAGAGTGTGCTTTGTGAACAAATTACCAAAACCTCAAAATTATCAATGTAATGCAAATCTAGTTACTAAGAGATAAAATCATGTGGTTTCACAGCTCACAGCAGTCTGTCACCTTTCAATTGACTAGAAATCTTCACTTCTTTGATATAGTTGAAATATGTTTAATCTTAAGTTTCTGAAAACCCCACCTCTCTTTGCTTGTTCTTTCCTTTTAAAGAGCTGCATGCATTAACAAGCAGTCTAGAAACTAAAATTACTACAGATCTTGTCAAGTCATTCCTGCATTGATCTCTGTAAAATGAAATACTGTAGGTAATCTGTACTTTCCTGCGTTGTAGTTACATGGGTCTAAACCCATGTGTCCTTGTTTGGATAGTCCAGGAATGGACAACATGTAGCTCCCAGGATCTCAGATGTCACCGCCAATACTGTATCCTTTAGGGCCATTAACATTGCCTCTCCCCCCAAAAAAATCATTTCAGAAGTCCCATTGTGCCCTTCAGGGCTATTTCTTTCCCTTTCTGTCACTTAATTGTAACAGTGTCTGGAACTGTACATGACAAGCAAGATAAAAGAGAGATGATAAGAATTTGGAGTGGAGTATTTCATTCTTTCCCTGCCACAATGAATCTTTGTGGTTTGGTTAGCAGGGACAGTCTTTTAAAAATACTTCCCAAGATTGGATGTCCACCTTGACTCCTTTAACATCATCAGGTCCTTTCATGAGGAAATGAAGGGCACTGTGGTTTTTGATGACTCAACATCAGATCCCTTTGACATCTGAAGATGAGTGAAACAGGGCTGCGTCCTAACGCTGACTCTGTTTGAGATCTTTTTTGCTGTCATGCTGAAGCACGCTCTTGGAACTGCAACAGAAGGTGTCTATCTCTGGACTAGATCAGATGAAAAGTTCTTCAATCTCTCTAGACTGAGAGCAAAGACCAAAGTCCAGCTGAAATGCATGCTGGACTTACTCTTCGCCAGCGATGAAGCTGTTGCTGCCCATTCTGCCGAAGACCTCCAACAACTTATGAATCATTTTAGCAAGGCCTGCCAAGATTTTGGATTAACAATCAGCCTGAAGAAAACACAAGCATTGGGCCAGAGCATGGACTCGCCTCCCTCTATTACCATCTCTCCACAAGAATTGGAGGTTGTTCATGATATCGTGTACCTTGGCTCAGTAATCTCTGACATTCTCTCTCTCTAGATGTCGAGTTGGAAAGCAGCTACCATGTCCTCTAGACTCACAAAGAAAGTATGGCTTAATAAGGAGCTGACGGCATATACCAAGATTCAGGTCTATAGAGCCTGTGTCCTGAGTACATTCTTGTACTGCAGTGAGTCCTGGACCCTTTGTGCACAGCAGGAGAGGACGTTGAACACATTCCATATGCGTTGTCTGTGACACATTTTTGGTATCACCTGGCAGGACAAAATTCCAAATAGAGTAGTCCTAGATCAAGCTGGAATTTTTAGCATGTATACATTACTGAAACAGCGACATCTATGTTGGCTTAGGCATATCGTGAGAATAACTGATGGATTCCAAAAGATCTCCTGTATGGAGAATTGGTGCAGCCCCAGAGGGAGACCACAGCTCTGAAACAAGAATATCTGCAAGTGGGATCTGAAGGCCTTAGGAATGGACCTCAACAGATGGGAAGCCTTGACATCTGACTGTTAAGCCTGAAGGCAGGCGGTGCAGCATGGCCTCTGCCAGTTTGAAGAGACACTTGTTCAGTAGGCTGAGGCAAAGAGGCAGTCCCCAAACCAGCAAAATCATGGAGCTGGACAGGGGATAGATTGTATTTGTCTTCCATGTAGAAGGGATTGTCGCTCTCGAATTGGGCTTCTCAGCCACACTAGACACTGTTCCAAGACCTCTCTTCATAGCATGTTACCATAGTCTCTCAAGAATGAAGGATGCCTAGTAACAAACAGTGTGCAATCTCTGTTACTGAAGGAGTGATGTTCCACAGACTAAAGTTACAGACTATAAAAAGGCTACTAAATGTGACAAACTTTTCTCCATTGCATTTTGCCACCAAAAAAAAACTCTTGTACAGTAGTTTTGGTAGGCACCAGATGATATTTGGTACTGTATCTCTAGTTGGAGAGTGTTTATAATTGCCATCCTGCTTAGGTGTTGAGGCAGAAAGAAAGTAACATGCTCTTTCAAAATCTGCATGATAATGTTCTTTTTTGTATATTGTTCCTTCATTGGTCAGATCCACCTGCCTCCTCACACTGCGATGTCTGGCATCCATCCAGTCTATTTCTGCAGTGCACATTATGTTGAGATGTTGCTGAAGGCTGAGTTGCCACTTGTATCTTCTGCTTTTCGTATGTCTGGTTTTACTTCATCACAGGTAATACAAAAACTGTTCCAGAATTTTTTTGAAGTGGTTGCCTTAGTTGCAATAATGAAATAAAAGTGCCTTATAGATCCTATTGACTGAAATTGCCAAAAGATTTGTTGTTGTTGATTTGCCTTCTTGCTGCTGTGATCTGAATGTACTGTTTATCTATCTATCTATCTATCTATCTATCTATCTATCTATCTATCTATCTATCTATCTATCTGTAGGCACCAGGATATTTGGTACTGTATCTCTAGTTGGAGAGTGTTTATAATTGCCATCCTGCTTAGGTGTTGAGGCAGAAAGAAAGTAACATGCTCTTTCAAAATCTGCATGATAATGTTCTTTTTTGTATATTGTTCCTTCATTGGTCAGATCCACCTGCCTCCTCACACTGCGATGTCTGGCATCCATCCAGTCTATTTCTGCAGTGCACATTATGTTGAGATGTTGCTGAAGGCTGAGTTGCCACTTGTATCTTCTGCTTTTCGTATGTCTGGTTTTACTTCATCACAGGTAATACAAAAACTGTTCCAGAATTTTTTTGAAGTGGTTGCCTTAGTTGCAATAATGAAATAAAAGTGCCTTATAGATCCTATTGACTGAAATTGCCAAAAGATTTGTTGTTGTTGATTTGCCTTCTTGCTGCTGTGATCTGAATGTACTGTTTATCTATCTATCTATCTATCTCTCTATCTATCTATCTATCTATCTATCTATCTCTCTATCTATCTATCTATCTATCTATCTATCTCTCTATCTATCTATCTATCTATCTATCTATCTCTCTATCTATCTATCTATCTATCTATCTATCTCTCTATCTATCTATCTATCTATCTATCTATCTCTCTATCTATATATCTACACACACACACACACACACACACACACAACCTACAAAAGGAGACAAATGCATAAATGCTTAGGGGAATAGCAAGATTTTCTTGTGAATAAAAATTCCTATGACTGGATTCTAGCAGTATCAAAAATGTATTTGTTATACTGGCCTTTGTAACTTGTATTTCTGTTTTCTAAATAAAAGCATCAAAATTTTCTCAAATCTACTCTAAAGCATTTTGCAATCAAAGTAGTGTAGATATAAAAGATTGACAGTTCACAGCTAGTTGAAATATGCTGCTAAAATAGAACAATTATTACAATAATATTTTCCAAAATCAAATTCATTACCATATGTTGCCAGATTTATTTAAAACATGTAAGACTCCTCAATTAAATGAGTACATACCTATTTACAGATAAAATTGCCTAAAAAAACAAATTCTGGATTAATTAATAACTTTGAATCAATGAAGAGATTTTTACTCACAGCTGAAGTTTTGTCAGCATTAATCGCTGGCAGTAAGTCGACTGAAGGCAGAGAAGTATATATACCGTACTTGGATTGGCCAGAAGGGGATGTTGCAAAGGCAAATTAGGAAAAGGTAATGTGACATAATTCGCTCATTCAGAATTAGGTATGCTTCTAGCCAAGACAACTTGTGAAGTTGTGTTTCCAGAGCTGTATATACCAGAACAAGGACAATGGTGAACACTGCAGTTCCTGCATTAATTGAAATTATGGGATGAGGAGGAACCAAATTTGTTCATATTTCACTTCATCCTGTCACTGTAATGTACAATCGTGTTGGATCACTGATGCTGCACTCATGAGCCTGAGCTTTCTGTTTCTTTTTACTAAGTCACTTTTATTATTCAGCCCTATAAAGAAGATAGTGGCTAAAATCCTTTTGCATAGCATATACCTTTTGGAGACAAATTGCCTTACTTTAAGAAATCACCATAGCGATTATGTTGCATGCTGAGTTACACTACTCACTACACAACAGATAATATCTACAGTGATTTCTTAACTTGAGGCAATTTGCTTCCAAAAGTAATGGTGTTTGTCTTTTTTTGGCATAACTAGGCAAGAGGATTTTGGCTATTGGAAGAAACACACAGCTCCGAGAAAGAACATGCTTCTGTAAAAGTGCTAGCCATATCTAGCTGTTACTAAAATGTCTGAAAAGCCAATGTGGTGAGGGGTAGCTTGACAACCATGCATCCTTTTTCGTCCCCATCATAGAAGGGGACTATCTGAAGATGGAGCAACTGCTGTAGCTGTGTTGGCTTCTCATTAGAGCCAGAACTTGAAAAAGTGGAGTTCTAGCTAAAATGGAAATGGTGGGTTTAAACACAGACTACAAAGATAGAGCATCCTCTCCCTTTTCAAATAGTTGCTAAAGAAAGCAACTGTTACTCAGACACTTTCTGAATTAATGAACTGACAGAGAATGGCAGAAATACTATGTTCCCCTTCATCATGTGTGCACGCCACAGGATTTAAGTATGAATGAGTAGAAGTTTTGTCTTGATCTGTTAAATGACAATAAAATGTCTCCTCTGGAGCAAAGTACAGAGTTAAACTCTGAATGTATTTTTTTTTCTAGATCTGTCAGCAGTGGCTAACTCAGTGCTTCTGGAATTACATGGACTGGAGTGAGATCTGCCATTATATTGCCATTTGTATTTTTCTTGGCGCAGATTATCAGATATATATGTGTATATCTGTTTTCAAACATCTACAGCAAGAAATTCTCCAGCATACCCAGATGCAGGACCTCCAGGTTTTTCTTAAAGTAATTTCTCGTTTAGCTTTATGACTTTTAATATCAGAATAAGCTTAAAGATTTTGAGGTAAAACATTTGGAGAGACCAACAAGAAGTAGCATTCAAAATGTTCACTTTTAAGCTATGGATTTTTCTGCACATGTTGTAGGCATGTACACTTTAATAGTGACAAAACAGGGGCAAATGGACACAGAAAGATGGCCATACTGTGACACAATGAGACCAAGAAACAGAGGTTTAAAAAGAGCAGTAGAATAGCACAGTTTTTATACAGGGAATTGTGATAGATCTAGCACTTTCTCTTGAATTTTGTCCGACTGCAGTCATGCTAATAGGCACTGCTTCGTAGCAATGATTCATATGATCAGAGTAGCACATTCTAGCCACCCTGCTTGAGTGAATCTCATGGTAATGGCAGCCAACATCTTCATGCATCCCTCCACTCTTTTTGTGCCCCCTAGACCCCATCCAAACAAATACATACATGCAATACCCCGCTTAAACATTCAGCTTCTTGCCGGTCCTAGAAATCTCCAGGAACAATTATTCAAGGTGCTCAGTCCCCTTGCCCTCAAAAAACAAGAGTTATGAAACCAGAAGTGGACTTTCGTCTGAAGCTTATTCACCCTTGTTCTAGGGATAGGCAAACCAGAATTCCAAATTGGACTTACATGAAAAGAGAAATGGCCTTGGACCTTGTGAATATTAAATGTGATCAGCTGTATTTGGTATCCATCACTATAACATCAGAGCTGAATTTTTATTAACATAATATTTTAGGCTTGCAAGAAATATTAATTGTTTAAACATGTCATGAGCTGTGGTCTGTCTATAACAGCCATCTTGTATAATGTGAATGCCCAAGCATACCATTAATTTAAAAGCTCTGACATTAATTTTAAAATACCATGGCAGAACTGTAGTCCTCATTATATCGTAGATGACAACACACCAGAACTGTTTTTCCTCCTAATAGAATTCATGTTAACATCTGATGACAGGCCATCAAGATTAAATAGCTCTTAAGGCACAGGGGCCAGATGATAGGTCAGAAATTATAAAACTCTCATTAAAACTACTGAATGCATTTTAGAAGGAGTAGCAGGGCTAATTCTATTTATATTATAGAAAAGGTGGAAATAAATATTTGAGGAAAGAACAAGATTTAAATTTTTATCATCTGTCAAAATATCCTAGTTTACTAATTAAATAACCCGACAGACATTTAGGAATGAAATCCAGAACAGAATCCCACTGATTTTTAACTACCGTATTTGCCGGTGTATAAGGCGATTGGGAGTATAAGACGGCCCCCCAACATTCCCACTTAGAATGTAGAGTTTGTTATATACTTGCTGTATAAGACTACCCCCTCTTCCGCATGTGTGATTCTGCTTTGGCTGCATCATGGGGAGAGTTCCTTTTGCCCCTTTTGGTTCCTTTTCGGAGGCGGCAACCATTTTGGAGAGGTGGCAGCCATTTTGGAGAGGCAGCAGCCATGTGGTCGCATCTCAAAATGGCTGCCGCCTCTCTGCTGTTCCGACAGTCAGCTGTTCGGCGCTAGAGTCAGGCTGTTCCCAGGCTAGGAGTGGGGCTCTACTGGGTCTTACTACCAGGTAAGTGACTTCGCTGGGAGAGAGGGAGGGTTTGCTAGACATGCACCCGGCGTACAAGACGACCCCCCCACTTGGAGGCATGTTTTTCAGGGACAAAAAGTTGTCTTGTATGCCGGCAAATACGGTATATACCATGGACTTTAATTGGTTGTTAATTTCACTCTAGGAACAATTTAAGTGAACATAGTACTAAATGCATGAAAACAGAGTGATGCATCATTAAAATGGGTAATTAATTGGAGGCTCCATTCTACCTCTAGCCATGTGCAACAGTTAGATGCAAATGAGCTTATAACTCTCATTTGAAGCCACTAACATATCAGCCAGATTTCTGCAATCCAGATGGGCATTGCTAATGCAAAAGGACTTCAGCATGTTGGTTATTCTCCTGAAAATCTCCTTCTGGACATAGATTTCTTTTGCTAGAATAGAATAATTGACTACAAATCTCTCAGAAAAAAATAAATATTTCTTTTAAAGCAAGTGTCATATGTTTAAAACAGCTAATTACCTATTATGCCATTGCCTTCAATAGTCATTTTTTAATTACTAGAAAATTGTATCATCTCAAATTACATCTCCCTCTTCTATCCACAAACATCTGAAAGTCCATGTGTCAAATTTGTTTGCTTTTAAAAAAATTTATTTAGCTTTTCCTGGAACTGTTACAAACTGCTGTTCTTTGGAGTGTTATTTCTTAATAATGTATGCGGAAGAGACAGCTTCTGTAAAGAAAGGGCTGTCTTTTGCATTATGTGATCTTTATGATAGCCCATGGTATTCTGAGAGAGTATCAGTCTCTCTCTCCCCACATCTCTTCTTTCTCTCTCCTTCTCTATCTCTCACACACCATACACACTGACATATTCACATAAACCAGACCATAGTTCATAACAGCACAATTCTAGGTAGACTTTAGGGCAGGGGTCCCCAACTTTTTCACCCCACGGACCAGCTGGGGAAGGCGGGGCACTCCCCATGCTTTTGCGCATGCGTGAACAAGCGCTCTCTCACACATGTGCAAGTGGCGCTCGTGCAGGCGCTTGGGCACATGTGCAAATGGCACAGCGCTTGCACGGGTGCGCTGGAGCAGGAGCACATGTTCAAATTAGCTGTGCGGGGGTGAGTGTATGCGGGGTGTGAGGCAGAAGGTCTGTCTCCATGGCCTGGTCCGCCTCGGGCCACGGACTGGCACCAGGTCACGGTCCGGGGGTTGGGGACCTTTGGTTTAGGGCACATAGTATGCAGTGTATTATCTGCAAGCATGTGTTCAGAATGAATTCCCTATAAAGAGTCAGTTACACAAGCCTTTTCTCATAATTCTTAATACAAAATGCAATAAAATTTTTAAATGGATTATCTTATAGCTTACAAAACAATTAAACCGGGAAGAATTTTGAACATATCCATTTGTGGATTGCAGCTCCCTTCACCTGCAGCATCCAGTGAAGCAGTTCACAAAGGCTTATGCTTGCTTGTTCTTCAGCCTCAGGACTGGAGTATTTACAGACAGGGCTAGTCAGATTACCACATTTGAGAGTCAACTTAAAGTTGCATGTGGAATTTTATTTTTCCAAACACTGTTAAATACAACAACAATCTTAGAACTGCAGAGCTGGAATGGATCATGTAGTGCAACTCCTGTCAAGGAGGCATAGTGGGAAATTGAACTCCCAACATCTGACTCCACAGTCAGTTACCCAAACCACTCAGCTATACAGTATGTGAAGTAGCTCAAAATCACTTATGCTTCGAACGTCCTTCAGCAATCTGGTTTGCCTTCCAGATGTGTTAGACTATAATTCCCATAATCCCTAATGACAATGACATTTTGTTACTGGATAGGGTAATTTTCAACTATTCCCTTACCAATTGAACCTTATTTAATACACCGTAGAAACTTTGTAGTGAGTCATACTGATGATACTAATGGACATGTTCGGTGTTTGGTTCTTAACTCTTTTAATTCTTTCAGCAAATAAGTAATGAGAATTATTCACAAAGAGACATGTTGGTTCCTTACTTTAGTTGCAATGTGCATTCACATGATTTAGTAGAAACAGGGGGGAATAATTGTCAATGAGGCTAAAAATTAAATTTAGCTACCTATGGAAAGGGCTTGAATAAGTTAGCCTGATAGTGTGCATCATTTTTCCTTAGCTGATAGTATTTCTGTTTTCTGCAATGTGCAGGAAGAAGCACTTCATGGATTTCAAGTGAGCGATTACGTCAAATACATGGAAAACTTGGCTGTAACCTACAGACCAGTGCTGCTAAGAGACATGAGAAACATTAGAGAGCAGAACACATAGATTAAGCAAAGGAGAATCTCATTTCAAATTTTAGTTATGTTCTTAAAGAAACACTGTGTGTTGTTTTCTGTCCTTCTCTGTAAAAAGGCATCCATTCTAAAAATGCAGACTGCCAAATCATTAATAGGGCCTTTTAGCATACTGCTTTCACAGGACAACGTCCTCTAAATTGGATCATCTGAAAAATAATGTGTTTTTCTAGTTGTACACTATCACCTTGTTTACAACTAGCTTCAGAAGCTGCCCTTGAATTATTTAAACATTCTTCTTTTATTTTCTAGGAGTAATTTCCATATTATTATACATAGCCTCCCTTCACATCCTCCCTAAAATTTCCAAAATGCATGCAGGTTTGGCAGTAAGAAACAGTAATCCTGAGTACCCACAGTGAGAATGCAGCCTTGGTTGATAATGAAAAATAGCAATACTGTATATTTCTTTACTAGAATGACCTTGAGATGTTAGGAAATAAGGGTAACTCAATTTGAATACAGAAAATTGGAGTATCTCATTTTGAGATAGAATAAAATATTTGGTATTACTTTCTATACCTGTAATTTTTGAACACATATTGAAACCTTTCCTTGAAATTTACATTTTGGTTAAGTGAATACATTAAAAGTGCAGAAAATGCAGTATTCTCTTTCGTTTTCTTATTTTCTTCTCATGCCGAAAGAGAATGTAAGAACTCTTCCATTATATGTATATATGTTGTATTTATACTGTTAATAAAATTTTAAAAATAGACATGGAATCAAGGTATTTAACATCGTCTGTGTAATATCTGTACTGAGATGTATCTTCTGTGGTGCATCAAATTGTGGCACAACTGAACATTATCTGGTTTGCTGATTTAAAACAAAGGGCAAGTATTCTCTGAATATTTTCATCTGAAAACATCTGATAATTTTTTCCATTTGGAATCACTAAAATGTAAAAGTATTTAAATTTGGCTAGATTGTATCCAGATATGTTTACCAAATTCATCAACTACAGCCTTTTATTAAAAATTAAAAGTTTCCAATCCCTTCCTCCCCCAGGTTCTGAGTTTCCCTTGGAACCTAGGGAAGCCTTTGGAAGCCTCAGAATGGAGAGAGAGCCTTTAGTGTCTAAAAATGGTGGTGATTATCAGACATTACTCTCTCCCATTCTGAGGCTCCCAAAGGCTTCCCCAAGGAGTCTTAAAATTTGGGAGGGAGGGTCAGAAACTAATTAGTGACACAGGTGATGTCATCACTCTTGTGAGTGTGGAGCTGTGAAAACAGGATTTCAGCCCATTCCCTCTCTAGATGTTTGTACCTTATATAGAAAAGCTATACATTTCCAAAAAGTCCTATCATTAAAAGCCACACTAAAATCTTACAAAAAGACCATAACTTCCTTTCTTGAGTCAATTAATCTCATGTTTTGTCTTCTTTTCCTACTGCCTCTCACTTTTCCTAGCATTATTGTCTTTTCCAGTTGGTTATAACTTACGATACATTCAAAGTATTTCAACTTCTAATGAGAGTTCAGGTTTGATTTGCTGTTGAACCCATTTATTTATCTTATTAGTTATCATAATATCTGTGGAAGTCTCCTCCAACACTACATTTTGAATGTATTGATTTTTCCCCTTCAGATTTCTTCTTTGTTTGATTTTCACATCCATATATAGTAATGAAGACTACCATAGCCTATATATTAGTATATTGTATTCGCGAAGGCTTTCATGGCTGGGATCTAATGCTTGTGGGTTTTTCGGGTTCTTTGGCCGTGTTCTGAAGGTTGTTCTTCCTAATGCTTCGCCAGTCTCTGTGGCCAGCATCTTCAGAGGACTGGAGTAGAAACTCTGTCCATGCTCTGTTGCTGTTTGTTGGATAGCTGAGTATTTATAGCTGTGGGAACAGCTTTTGTGCTTTTTTTT